CTGAGCTACATCCCCTGAAGGAGAATTTTCTGATCTAAATACAGTATTACAAGTCAGGAGGCTTTCGGTGGGATCCAGGTTAGAGAATACCATACTGTATCAAACACATACAACCCTATATATTTATTTATTTACAACCCTTTCTAGGTAGCAAATATATATATATATATATTTATTTATTTATTCATACATACATACATACTGGGAATTGAACTCAGAACCTTGCACTTGCCAGGCAGGCTCTTGTGCTGCTGAGCTATATCCCCAGACCACAAATAATTTTTTAAAAAAGTAATCTAGGTCTAATATTTCATTCACTTTGGGTGTAAAGGCTTCTAAATTCACTTACTGTACTATCCAATTAAAATCTTTTCAGAATTAAGCAATTATTTCCTGATTTGCCAAGGATTACATTTAGATTCTTATCTCTCATGACATCACTTTTAAATGGATAGCGTATTGGTTGACATCATAGTTTACTGTCATGGAAATATATTTGTACTAAGCTTGTCTCAAAGCAAGTTTAAGGGGTACAGAGACTGAGGGAAGAAGGAAATAAGCTATGTGAAAAATATATCCTCTAAATGTTGAAGGATCCCAGGAGTTCAGACCTACAGTGATCTCATCCTGTCTCATGGTTTTAAATACTATCTATACACTGATGACTCCCAGATTTATATCCAGGCTGGTCCTCTCCTCTGGACTCCAAACCCATATATTTGTCTTCTTGACCTCTTCAACTGGGTGTCTAATAGGTACCTTAACCCTCACGTTTACCCTGAACTCCTCATACAGTCCTATCCCCACCCCATTGTCTTTATTCACAACAATCTGCATCTCATCTCAACATCCCTTTCTAGTTGTAGAAGAAGGGATGTAATCATTGACTTATTTCTTACTTCTCAGGAGATCTTTTCATCTCTACCTTAAAGATATACTAATCAAAAGATGCTCATTTTGTCCCATTTTCAGTACTTTCAAGCTACCACCATATCTTGCCTAGATGTCTGTGATTGACTCAGAATTTGTCTCCCCACTTCTGCTCTTGCTTTCGTCATATTCTCATATGGGTCCCAAAGCAATCCTATTGATATCTAAGTCTATGGTACTCCTCAGCATAAGTCCTCCGGTGGATTTTCATCTCATCCAGAGTATGACCCAATGCCCCTTAATCACATCCCTTATTCTTCAGTTATATTAGACTCCTTCAGTTGAACAGCGCCTTTGCATATGTTATTCCTTCTGCCCGGAGTTCTCTTTCCCTAGCTATATGTATGGCCTGCTTCCCTTTCTCTTTTAAGCCTTTACTCAAATTATCTTCTCAGTAAGACTTTCTATGGCCAGTGATCTGAACTTAGTACCCACATCCTCCTTTCTTGCTTTATTTGTCCCTGTAGTATTTAACATACCATGTATTTTGCTTATTTTTACTGCTACTGTTTATCAGTAAAATGATACTGGCACATACGATAAACTCAGTAAAAATTAGCTGAATGAGTAACTGAAAAATGGATATGGTAAGAAATAAGGACTACTGAGAACACAATTAATCAAGGTCTAGGAAGCACACATCTAAAAAAGGCTCATTATAAGTTATGGGTTTTCATCAAGATGTGTTTTTGACTAAAAAACAGGTTTTTTTTTTTATTTCTGCAACATGAAACTGTAGAGATTAGTATTCAAAAAGGAAGAAGACAATGATAAATATAGATGGGTATTATAATGTCCATTGTTTGCCAGGTCACATGAGCTCATGATTTTCAAAATTTATTACTATGTAGAACATACTATTCATAGCAAGCTGAAATTAGCAATGAAAAAAGTTGTCCATTGATTGAATTAGCAGTGTCTGACACATAGTAAAGTAATTTATAAAGAAAGCCAGATTTGGATGCCATCCAAAGGGTTTAGTTATTTAAGTAGTCTTATTTCTAAAATGATTTTACAGTATAGCCCTGGTGTCCAGGCTGGTTACAGTTAAATTGAGAAATAAATAATAATGAAGATACTACTTTTAGATCTGAGAACTATAAATCCTTAGTTGTTATTCCTTATCAACTAATAAGATAAACAATGAATGGACAGACTACAAACTTTCAAATGAGGTGTACATGAAAAGGGCCATATTACTAGACAGAGTCAGAGGTAGAATGACAGAATGGAAAAATAAGTATTAGGGGATCTGGGTTCCAGCCTTCATTATGTGATTAGGTATGAGCCTTTTAAGCTCTCTTGGGTACCTCATCTGTACAATGTGAGGATGAACCTTTTGGTAGGATTCAAAGGTTCCCTTAAAGGTATCATAAAATTTTTTGACTTCAAGTTTAATCATTGTGGTAGAGAGAATAGCATGTCCCACCCAAAAAGATGTTCACATCCTAATCTCAGAACTGAAATACGTTTTTCTACAGCAAAGGTAAATTAAGGTTGCTAATAAGCTACTGTAAGGTAAGTAGATGATTCTGAATTATCTGGTTGGTCCCAATGTGATCACAAGGGTTCTTATAATGGCAGAAGAGAGAGCGATGCCATGTGAGAAAGACCTGACTGATCATCCTGGCTTTGAAGATGAAGGGGCCATGGCCAGTGGAGGAATGAGGGCAGCTCTGGATGAGGAAAGAAAACAGATTCTCTCCTGCAGCCTTCAGAAAGGAGCCCACCCTCACCAACACATTGATTTTAGTCCAGTGAGAACTATGTCAGACTTCTGACTTCCACAACTTCAAGTAATCAATTAGTACTGTTTACGCCATTAAATTTGTGGTAATTTGATTCAGCAGTACTAGGAAAATATCACAAACATGACATGTATTGTAACTAGCAAAGTTGGACCCAAGACTGTCACAGATGGCAGCGTTTTAAATAAAAATCCTTTACTTAGGTATTTTGTAAAGATCTTTCCAGCCTAGGGAATTACTAGAGAGTCTATGGGGTGGGGGGAATAAAATTTTTACCGATGATTCATGTAAAGCGTAGGAATCTGGATATTTTGTAAAGGAAAGAAAATGGCAAGGGATGACAAATCAGAAAGGTTATCTATAATGTACGTTTCTTATTTTTCTGAGTCTCAGTTTACTATAAACAGAAAGGCTGAGATGAGTAATCTCTAAATCTATTTCTGAAATAAGATTTTAAAATCCTGACAGAAAAGGGACCTTTGATACCACTTCTCCTAACTAACCTAAATTCTGAAGAGTAATCTTTTTTATTTGTGGTAGTGAGTATTGAACTTAGGGCCTTGTGCATGCTTGTCACACACTCTCCCACTGAACTATACTCCCAGCCCTAAGAATTGGAAAGTACTATCATTATTCTTAGTATCTGATGGTTAAGGTTCATGGAAGCTCTTAGTTTGCTCTCAAGAAAATGTTTCTGAATTTTAATCCTGAAATTTTTTATTCTAAGCACGCACTCTAACACTAAGCTATTTCCCTGGCTCCTAAAGTTTTTGTTCTTGACGGAACTATTTCTAGAGTAAAATACATGCTATATTTAAAAAAAAAATTATTAGTGCACACTGGTCATATAGATTGGTGAGTTTCATTTTGGCATATTCATACATATACTCTGTTTTTATATAAAATTAAACAACACCGTATCTTTTCTTGGAAGTCACTGCTAGTAACATCAGTTATTATACTGGGCTCTTACGTTGGTGATGCTCTAGATGGGATCTGCCAACTATGGCCTGCAAGCTGCTTTTATAAGCATAATTTTTAAAGGACTGTTTAAAATAATGACCTAAACTATACATGACTTAGCCTGAAGTATTTACTGTGTGGTCCTTTACAGGAAAGTTTGCTGACCCCTGTTCTGGAAAAGATGTATAGGCCTCTTTACCAAATGTATATAACTAAATCAAAGCTTATGCTCTGTCATTAAAGGAAGCGTGCCCATTGTAGCACAACACCTGACAACGCAGCAGCTCAAATATTTGTGGAAAAACAAAGGCCACTGGTGAAAAAAAAATTTTGTTGTTGTTGTTGCTATACGCTCTCCTACTCTGTCACAAGTTTTTGTCAATGCCTGTCCCTTCAATCTCTCTCCCGTTTTACATTTCATCTTTTAAGTATTGGTTTGGAATTTTGATACAGGTGGGTTCAGTGACTTATTTTGATTGTCCTAAACCCTTTTTATTTCCAGATTTTTGTTATCCTTTGGGAAAAGTAAGTTTAGGGATAGATGAGTTCTTGTTGTAGTATACCTAAACTTTAAAAAAATAATGTAAAATAGCATTATACCTCCAAAGCTGTTCAGTAATGTTTTAAAGTGAAACAATCTGAATGGCAGGATTATTTTGAAAGTCTGAGATTTCTTTCTACAATGAACACAAGTTACTTTTATGTTCACAAAGAGATTTCCATCAAAAAAAAAGGCAAGTCACAAGGTTCTCTCCTTTATTCTCACTGACCTATCTCAACTATTCTCATACGGTATATTTTCTATCGTTATTTGGTCACAGTTTTTTAGTGGGTGTAATATTGTGCTTGTGGATTTTTCTTTACTTACACTGGGGTTACCATAAGGTAACTCATGGCTACAATAGTACTGAAAATAAATTGTAACTATAAAATACTGCAGGAAAGCCAATCAATGGGGTGAAAGGTAAGAGACGGTCGTTTGGCCCTCCTGCTCAATTTTTTATTTTATACAATTAGCTTAGATGAACAACGCCCAATTTGCACAGGTTATGGTTGAGAAAACATTGAGTCCCCACAATAACTGTTTGCGTAGGCAAAATGAAGTGGTCAAAGTCAACTGACTGGTCCTGGAGGAATAGGCGCAAGTTCATTAAAACCTTCCCTCGACTGTATATCCTCTCACTTGCCATTCACCTTTACAAATTCAAATTTTGCCTTTGCCATGTCAGAGGAGGGCTGTGGGTTAGAGGCCCCGGCAGCGGCCATCCACGGATACAAAGTCGGTCCCCCAAATCGCAGCACCCAGGCACTGTCCCTCCGCCGCGAGCCTCGGGCCCTACCGACTGGCCCCCGACTAACCTGACCAGGTCTGTCATGCAGGAGCCCACCACCACCACCGCCGCCACCTCCTCTTCACGCTGCTTCCCGGGTTCCCCAGACGCTGCCATTGCTACAAGGTGAAGCCGACCAAACCGGACGCTGACCTTTGCCCTTTGTCCGACCCACTACCCAGAGACGCCGCTCCTACTCTCCCTGACGACACGGGGCTTGCACACGTCTACGCAGGTCGCCCACCCGAATGCCCGACATAATCTTGTCCACCAACTTCCCCGGTTTTTCCACGAATTGCCTCCCTGCAACGTCTCACTCTGCACAGTCCTGCCGATATCGCGAGAGTCGGCGTTTCTCTACCCCAGCGAGCCAGGCGCTGAGCGGGAACTTTCAGGCACCGCGGAGACGCCTTTCGAAGCGCCCGCCCAGGAGCAGTGCGGGAGCGCGCACGCCATACGGCTCCCGGAGGGGCGGGACGGGGCGTCCCGGGAGCGCGCACGCATTGGGCCCGCGGTGCGCGCGCAGGTCGGTGTGGTGGTCGGGGGCGCGCTCGGGTAACCTGTACCCCACGTAGTCGCCGGTTACCGATCGGACTAAGTTCCAGGTACCTGGACTGGGGCTGGTGCGGGGAGGTTGGATCCCGAATCGCACAGGTGGCTCAGAGAATCATGGTTTAAAATGGCCAGCGGGTTCGCCTCCTCTTTTTCTAGAGAAGGCCCCCATTTCAAAGATACCCTGGTCACCCTCATCACGCTAGTCTCAAGAACGCGCTCCCAAGGCCAGAGACTTTTTTCTCCACATCTGGCTTACCCTCTGGTCCCTAATTAAACCGCAGGGTTAATCCCTCTTTTTTGCTTGATAAGGGGATCATATAATTTAGGAGAAGGGAACGTGACCCTTTTCAGATGTTCCCCGGGGGAGGAGTGATTATTCTTGGGGTCTGAACTGATTTGCTTTTCCTGATGTTGCCCCTTGGAGAAATTGCGTCCCCTGTGTAACTTCCCTCGTGCGCCGTATGACGTTGACGTGACGCAGCAGGAGGCCACCCCTTTCCGTTCCGTGACGTCAACCAGGCACACATTTCCGTGTTTGTCATCCTAGCCTAATTGCAAGAGCCTGAACAGTGCTTCAGACGTCTTTGTTTTCCCCAGGCAGCCCACTGAAACACCTTATTTGACCTTATTTTTTGGGCAGCAAACCTTTGTAAAAATTACATTTTTGCCTTTTCCTTCTGTAGTACGTCAAAAATCAGGAAATACAAATTGCAGAATTGGCATTCAAAACAGTCTAGCCACCCAGAATTTCTGCCTATCTGGGATCTATTATAGGGTTGCCATATCTAAAAGTTATTACTGGATACCTTCCTCATCCATGTCCCTGTTCACTGCAGCAAAGGGTCATCCTCTCCGGCTGTTGCAAAATTTCTGATTTTGGAGTCAGTATACAGTATTTTCCTCACTTTGTTAGAAAAGTCACATCTCTTTATGATTGGAACATTTTAATGCTGGATGAGATCGTGCACTGAGAAAAAATAGTATTATGGCTGTTCTGAAAATAAAGACAAATTCATTCCCTTCGGTGTCATTGCAAAATCATGTCTGTTGCTGAATTCGAATAGGTTGTTGTCATCTTTAGTATGGTTTGCCTTCTGGGGCCGTTAGTGAATCATTCAGGCCAGCTTCAGCGGTAGGTCAGCCGTAGTCTAGTTTATTTCTAGTTGCAAAGCAATCATTCATTTAAAATCATTAGTCTGTCTTCACATTTTGCACGGTGTATGCTAAAAAAGTCACCTTGATGCTTTCCTCTTCAGTCACCGACGGTGTTAATGTTTACTTGAGAGGAAGATGAAAACAGTGGGCTTTTAAGAGAGTTCTGGGTTTGAATTTGTATTTTTTGAAACGGTAAAATGGGAACAAAATTCACCAGGGAACTGAGTTGTTGAAAGTGACATTATAGAGAGGGGTGAGTAATATGGGGCTGATAGTGAGAAGATATTGAGAATGTGTTGGCCCTGTTTCCTTTTTTTGTTTTTTAGAATTGAGAGTTAAAATAATAGTAGTGACTGTGGGAAGAAACATAATTTCATAATGGGAAGACCTTTTGCTTTTTTCTGTAATGAGTATTAGTGTTTTCATATGATCTAGATAAGCATCCCTTCAGGAACTACGACAGCAATGGGTAGAAATAAAAGTAGGAAAAAAGCCATCTTCGAAACAATAATATGGATTAGTATATTATTCAAAAAGAAACTAACAGTTATCCATATCATTTGCAAAATGGGAATTAAAATACCTGCCACTTTACCCAGGTTGTAAAGAGCAGCTACAATGGAAGCCATAATTGCCAGTCCTTTTTAATTTTTATTTTTATTTTGAGACAAGGTCTTGCTGAGTCACTCAGTCCCCCAGGCTGTGCTTGAATTTAAGATCCTGCTGCCTCAGTCTCCCAGGATGCTGGGATTACATGCATGTGCCACTATGCACATGATTTTTATGACTGATAGTACAGTGCACGAGATGTTTATTCTTACCTTCTGATGACATATTAGAATGGTGGGGGAAGTCATCTGCTGAAGGCCCAGAAGAGGGGCTTGTTTTATATTTTCATGAAGGATGATTTGAGAGCTAAAGTATAAAGCATTTACCCCTGCAAAGGTACTCCTGGGTATCATCACTATATACTGTGAAATATTAGTATTTCTTGAACTGTCACTGCAGTCCTTCCCTTTATCACTATCAGAAATGGTTAATTAAAACAAGTACTAGTTTGCCACATTTGTTTTAGCAGAGACTTGTAAGTTGTCATGTGGTATAACATCTGAAAACTAGAACTAGAACATTAGTTATTTGTAATTGTGAATGCCTAGAAATGAATGTGTTTTTGATGTGGGATTGCCCTTTCAGTTTGAGGAAGAAAATAGTAATGTGAATTGACTTATTTACCTCTGAAAGTGGAGGCTTTCATTTAGAAATCTATTAAGAAGAATTCATATACTTCCTCCAGCCCCATAAGTTTCCAAGTAATTTATGTATGACCTACTGGTTTTGCTTTCTATTTTTAAATATAAAGATTTCTTAGTGCCTTAAACTCAAAGACTAAAAGATCTATGTTATCCTGTTGTTTAATATTTGGATGTCTGTATTTTCAAGGTATGTAGATTTTTGCCACATCTGTTTCTCAGTTTTTGCTATCTTTATTCCCCTATGAATTTTTTTGAGAAAATATCTTCTCAATCCATAAATATTTTATTTCATTTTTTATTACTATTTTGTTTTTTCCTTTTAAGACAGGGACTTCCTAAGTTGTCCCTGGCTGGCCTTGGTAAACTCTTATCACTATTCTTTCCTTTTGCTTTTAGTGGTCAAGTTGAAATGTCCCCAGAAGTGGCCTTGAACCGAATTTCTCCCATACTCTCCCCATTCATATCTAGTGTGGTCCGGAATGGGAAAGTGGGACTGGATGCTACAAACTGTTTGAGGATAACGGACTTGAAATCTGGGTATGTATAAGAACTGATTAAAAAAAAAAGAACTGATTCAATACATGGACCAGAACCAATTCAACCTTTATCTAAGTAAATCTCTCATACCAGACTTACACAAATTGTATCCCACAGAAATTGTTTAGGTCATGATCTTCTCATATGGTGATTGAACTGGTTTAAAAAATTATTTATATATGTGGTACATAGATAAATGGTGTACCTCTAAACCACATCCTCAGTCCAGTTACATTTGGTTTATTTAGTTCTTGACATTTTATATTTCATGTTATTTTGTGTTGCAGGCTATTACTTTATGGCCAGAATGTTCATTCTGTTTCTGGCTTATCTCTTTGTGAACAGTGTGCCATGTGGGTTTTAGCAAGTGTGTTTTCCATTCATTGGCTTGCTTTCTTGTTTACTGCACTCCAGAATACAGGATAAGAATTCAGTTTGATATTCTGCATCTGACATCACTTGATAATCTCTCTTAATATGAAAATTATAATAGCCAAAATGAGTCATTCCTCATCATGAGGCTGAAACATCAAGATCTCATACCTAGAAATGATGCATAAAAAACATCTTATTTTGAAATAAAATTGGATTTACAAAAAGTTAGAAAAGTACAATAGTAAATCAGCATTCTTTCAATATTATTAATTATTCTACAGGTCCTATTTGAGTATTGCTGGTTTTCCCTTTCAAGTCCTTCTTTTGGGTCCAGAATCCAGTTCAGAATATAAATTACATCTAATTGTCAAGTCTCTTTAGTCTGCCTAATCTGTGACAGTTCCTTAGTCCTTCTTTGTTGTTAGTGACTTTGACAGTGTTAAAGATGTAAAATGTCCCTCTGTGTGGGTTTTTTTGATATTTTCCTTTCCTTCAGGTGAGAAATGCATTTTCCTCCCATGAATACTTTAGATCCCAGGGCATCAAATGAGGGCACACATGATGTTTCTATGCCTTTTTACTGGTATGTTAACTTTGATCACTTGATTAAGATTGTATCAGCCAGGTATTTTCCTATAGTAAAGTTATCTCATTTGTCCTTTGTGATTAGTACCTTGTGGAATAATGCCTGAGGACTATGCTTTTGTCCCTTTTCTCAATATACTTTTGTCCATTAATTTTAACATCCACTGAGAGTTCTTGTCTGCACTTGTTACTACTCTGGGGCTTGTCTTAGAGTGATTTTTCTATGTCCTTCATTTCTTACACATTTATTAATTTGAATCCCATTACAAGAAAGCACAGTCTTTTTTCCCTCAATTATTTACTCAGTCAATAAATTCTCTATCATTGGTTTATGTCAGTATGCATTTTTAGTCTATGGATTATAAATCAAGAATAGACAGTCCCTGGCTTCTGATGGTTCAGCTTTTGAGTTTTTGACTTTATAATGTGTGAAAGTCATGTATACTCAGTAGAAACTGTACTTGAATTTTGAACTTTGACGTTTTCTCAGGCCAGTGACATGTGGCCCAATCCTCTCTGCGGGCAGCCGCCATTCACAAAGGGAAACCACTGATGCACTACAGTCAGTGTACTGTGTTTTTAAGCTCTGATGTATCCAAGGGATTTTCAGTCTATTATATTTTCAATTTCTGAGGGGTTTATGGCAATGTAACCCCATCCTAAGTCAAAGAGCAGCTGTGCCATTGTCATTTTTTTGTTGTTGTTGCTTAATTGTTCTAGCTTCTGCCATTGGGGCTCTATTAAGTGGCTTTTGTGACTTTTTGACATATCCCCGTGATGTTTTCTTACTGGAAGTATTGCACTCTTGATATTCTTTTTAGTTTTCCTTGTTGGACTTTTTTCCCTTCACAAATCTTTCTATCTTTTGACTAAGCAGAACAAACACTTGGATATAAGGATATAGATTTCTGTTCTTCAGCTGTAAGATAAACAAGACTAATATACTTCTTTGGAATAGTAGGGTGCTTTTTAAAAGATCTGGCATTGTCTTCAATTTTATTAATCAAGTACTTATATCCATTTACTTTTTGTAAATGGACCTAAGTATATAAGTATCCATTTGCTAGTGGCAGGCATACGTTGATCCTTTTTATTTTTTATGGTAGTGGGGAGTCATACTGAGCTACATAACTGTTCTTTTTAGTTCTTTTATTTTGAGATAGAGTCTCAACTAAGTCGCAAGTTGCCCATGTTGGGCTTGAATTTGTGATCCTCCTGCCTTTGTCTCTCAGTGCTGGGATTATAGGCATGAGCCATCATGCCCATTTGTTGAGGGAAAAGAATGTGGTACAGCGTGAACTAAGATTAATAATATCAACAAGAATGAAAAAATGGGATAGGGGAATTGGACGATGAGGGATGGGGAGGGAAAGGAAAGGGAATTAAAAAAGAAATAAGCTATGGTATGTACTTGTACCCGCTCCCCAAGATGATTGTGAACTGCATTAACTGCCAACATGCACTAATAAAATAGAATAAAAAAAGAATGTGGTAGAAAGAACTCTGGTGGAGTTGATAGAAGGTAATTAAATTTTTTTTTTGCTTTGAATATAAAAGTTAACTATACATGTTAGGGGCTTTAAAAACTATCCTTAGAACAGTGAAGGGTTGACAATTGACCTTTGAATTTTTTTACTGGTTTAAAATTTTGTGCCAGGTACTCAAGTAACAGGTCAGATACTGAGACAGGCTTTCCAGCTCGTAAATGGTGGTAGGAAGTAGGGGTTGTAAATAACAGATCATGCTTAGGATTCATTCAGTCTGAATTTCCTGGCTATAGATAGGCTAGATATAGATTGGTGCCTCTAGAGCATTCTTTAAATAAACTTTATATCTAATTGAAGTCAACAGGGTTAGATCTCAAGAGAGTATTTTCCAGTGGCCCTTACTGCAGAAAGTAGATTGATAGACTTTGTTTGCTGTGTTCATTTCTTGTCATTTGTTGCTTTGACTTTGGTTTTGTCTTTCTGGGACCATGAAATCAGTTAACGTTTCTTCTAGGTCTGAAGATAAAGAGATTGTCAAATGGTCTTAGGGCATTTCAACTTCATACCTTTTCTTATTTTCCTTTTTAAATTTTTATTTTTTCTTTGTGCTCTGACGTGTTTTTTGAATATATTTTTGAAGCTTTAAACTGTTGGCCTTGTATTCTCTTAGCTTAATGAGAATACACCTAATTCTGTCTACCTTCTTTTCCTTTTCACCCCAGCATATCTTGTATTTTACTGTTTGAGTCACACCCATTATGGATTTTCTCCTTTTCTAGGAGAGCGTGAGCTTGGAGAAACAAAGGCACCTTAGGTGGGGAGTGAGACTCCTACTTATTTATAGCCAAAAGTGGCTAGAATTTTCTCACTGGATCTCAGTTCCTTTATTAAGGAGCAACTGAGTTAGATGACTAAGGCTTTTACAGGCCCCAAATCCTATGAAAACAGCTCAGAAGTCCATCAACTGATGAGTGGATAAACAAGTGTTGTATATCCAAAAATAGACTATAAATTCAGCCATAAAAAGGAATGAAGTACTTATTCATACTGCAGCAGGGATGAACCTCAAAAACATTGTGCCACATGAAAGCCACAAAACATCATGTCTTGTATTGTATGATTCCATTTATATGAAATATCCAGAATAGGCCAGTCCATGGATCTTGAAAGTAAATCACGGGTTGCCAGTGGCTGAGGGGATTAGGAAGTACCTGCTAATGGATATGGGGCTTCTTTTTGAGCATGACAAAAATGTTCTAAAATTACATAGTGGTGATGGTAGCGCAGCTCTCTGAATACACTAATACAACTGAATTGTACCCTTAAGGGTACGTTTTATTGTATGTGAATTCTATCTTGTAAGGTAAAGCTGTTATTTAAAAAAAGAAACTTGTGAACCAGGGATGTTTACTGGCTTGAATAGTTAGGAAACAGAAATACATTTTTCTTCTTGAGCTTATCATCACAACATTGCTTGCAAGATGTTAAAGACCTGATGGGACTGGTGGCCAGTAGACTGGGGACTGCTTTATGTTAGATGATATAAACCTGAATATCCTTCTCTTATTAGTGTTCTGAGAGACCAGTTAAAATCATGTTGCTTCTTTTCTGCAGATTTCCTTTTGCATGTTCCCAAATTCTTCAATGTTTAGTTGAATGTCTTAAGTACAAATAGTGGAACTAATGAAAAACTTGAAATAAACTCACTGGTCCTGGCCCTGGCCCTGTCTGGGCTAGTTCTGCCTAAGAAATATTTGAGATTGCATTTAATGACATTCCGTATTATGGCAGTCACCTTTTCATAATTATAATGAAATAATTGAAAGAACTTAGAAGAGAAGAGGTTCATTTTAATACATGGTCTTTTGAAGGACTTTCAACATTTAAACTATACCAAGTAGTTATGGAATTTACTGTTTTTAGTTGTAGAAAACAAAAATGCCTTAATCTGCATTAACAGAGTTGCTCTGCAGAAAAGCATGTGAAAAACCTTAGTTCAGAGCATTGCTGAGCATTTTTAAGCTGATGTCTTATTTTATTTTTAAAAATTAACAGGTACTAGTTGTACATGTTCATGAGATTTGCTGTGGTATTTCTGTACATGCATACAGTATGCATTGATCATATCCATCCATCCTTCTTCTACCCTTTCTCCTGATTTCCTGCCCTCATGCACCCTTCTGACTCTCTAGTAGTAATTCTTTTACTTTCTGGATGACTTTTGTTTGTTTGTTTGTTTCTACAGATGGGAGAGAACATGGGATACCTGTCTTTCTGTGTTTGGCTTATTTTGCCTAATATGAGATTCTACAGTTCGATCTGTTTTCCTGCAAATGATAGGATTTCATTCCTTTTTATGTTTGAATAATACTTCATTGTATAATGTAGCATGTTTTCTTTATTCACTCATCTATGATGAGCACATAGGCTGATTTCATATAGTAGCTTTTAGGAATAGTATTGCAATAAACATAAGCATACAGGTATCTTTTGTGTGCTGACTTCATTTCCTTTGGATATATACCCAAGAGTATTTTCTTTAGGTTGCAGAAT